TCGTTCTTTAAGTCGAAATTTCCATCACGAAAGCGTTTAAACCAAAACCGCACGGTGCGTTCACATCAATTTCATACTTTAACCCCTAATATTTCATGTGTGGAAAGGATTAACGTGGCAGAAAAGAAAAAGTTTCTAGTGTATAAACTAAATTTATATATATAGAAGTTTAAAGAAAAGGGACATGTAAATTTACAAAGGTTTATTTAACTTTATTTTCTAACAACAAGCAAACGCCTTCAGCCTTATTACCTAATTTCTTTTTAAACCTTTTTAAACCTTTTTAAAATTTTACCCATTTTAAACTACAACTCCGTTCTAGTCTCGCCACCGGCGGCAATTACTACTACGTAGTTGCTTCCCTAATAAATATTCTCTTATGCCGTCAGTGGGCTTTCAGAACAGAGGCAAAATGACTATTACTACCAGTTGGTTGTCTGTTGCAGGAGTCACCGTTGGGTTGGAAAATTGCCTTCGGCTTGGAAAGCTACCGTTGCTGAGCTTCCTTCGGGTTCATACACCTGGCGCTTGACTACGTCCGGACTAGGACGAAGCATTTCCGCTGAACGGCTACCATTTGCTGCTCGTCCTGTGACCTTTCTTTTGCGCCGGCCAATATACAGGGGAGTACCATACTCGGAAGCGGAAAACCTAAAGTCTTAAGGCACGTTACCACGACCCATAATAAATTTATGTACTGTTTTTTTTAAATTTTAAATTGTACATTTTATTTATTATAATTATTTCAATTATCGGAATTCTTTATTTAATTTTCTACACTCATAGGGAAAATAAATAAATTCGATGTCGAACGAATTGAATATCAATTCAATAAATACTTTAAAATCCGATGTCCTTTGACCTTCCGCTGTTAGTCACACCTGCAGAAATGCCATCGTCATCAAATACAAATGTAGGATCCGTACTTGTCAATTTAGATGAGAATATTGAACCGGATAATAAATATAAAGTTGACTCTAATGGTGAAGAAGGCCAAGCTGATGATTCGTTTATATCAGTAACGGAGGAATAGTATGAATTAGAGAGTGTAGAATTATTACCAGAAATAAATGAAAGGGGAATGCCACCTAGAGATGAGGGCGAAGAATTTTCTGAATTAGGAGAAAGGAGTATGACACTCGGAGATCGTTCTACACTAAAACCTCCTACAAAGTTTAATGATTTTGTAATGAATATTGATGACTTGAATGACAGTAAAGAACCTAAGACGTATAAGGAGGCTCTTGATAGACCTGAGCAAAATGGGTGGCTCAAGGCTATGGATAGTGAGATAAATTCTTTGCATGAAAATGACACGCGGGAATTAGTTCAAGCAAAAAGAAAAATCAGAGCTAACGCTCTTGCTTTTTTTTTTTAAGTTTGAGTATGCATTTACAGGGTGACCCCTGCAAATGGATAATCAAACTATTATATAAAATAGGACTTTTAGTCCAGTAGCCTAATGAGCGCGAACAGGTTTAACTAAGCGTTGCTGTCAATGAGAGGTTGATTTTAGGTCAGTTCGACGGCGCTACTGCCTTTTTGAATGGGAATGTAAAAGAGGAACTGTACATGAAACAGCCTGAAGGATATAATTATGGGAGAAGAAGGCCATGCAAATTAGAGAAAAGCCTTTTCGGTTTAAAACAAGCCCCACGCTGTTGGAACGAGTGTATGCAAGAATTTTTAATAGAATCGGGATTTAAACAAACTGAAGCAAAGCCCTGTTCATATTTTCGCAACGAGGCAATGGCAAAATTTTCAAAAAGTTATTACGCCTATATGTGGATGACGGGTTAATTACATCAACAGATGAGTCAGAAGCAGAGCATTTTGTGGAACATGAACTAAAGGCTCGTATCAAAATAACAACAAAGCTTGCTTCTTATTTTCTTGGTTTGGAATTGAAGCAGCAAGCTAATGGTGTTATTTTAGTAAATCAGAAAGATTACATCAAGCGAATATTAGAAACATTCGGAATGTCAGACTGCAAACCAGTTGCGACTCCAGCTGCAAAGGAGTCTCGAGAAAGTATTTCTAAAGAAAGTACTTGTACAAACACAGATTTTCCGAATTTAATGGTGGCAACCCGCCCCGACATATGTAGCTTACGTCGTAAGCGTAGTATCGAGGAAACTAGAGAACCGTCTGCACAAGATGTAACAAAAGTAAAAAGAATTATGCGATACTTAAAACGAACGGAATCCCGAGGCCTTATATTCAAAAGAAATATGGCCACTGGCATTGAGTCATATAGTGACGCAGAGCGTGGAGGTGACTTAGAAACTGGTCATTCTACAAGTGGACTAGTCTGTTTACTAAACCGCTCGTTAGTAAGCTGGGAAAGCAAGAAACAAAAATCTGTTGCGCTTTCGATTATAGAAGCCGAGCTAGTCGCCGCCAGAAAACGTGCCGAGACTAAAAAACAATCAAATAAAAATAAACTCGTAATTTAAACATAATATGAATAGATTTATGTACACAGGAACAAAATTCGTTTTAATTGTAAGGAAACATTGTACTGAAATACAGTTGATACATAGTTGATACAGCAAAAAAGTTGATACTTCATTAAAATAAAACAAACTTTCGCCACGCCGATTTTATGCCGGCCATTACATCGGCGGGACGGAGCACATGTCTAGTGTGGACCCAGCAAAACAGGGGTGATTAAAAAAATCCTAAAATATAGGTGTGTAGGTAAATACGTCTACAATGGGATCACAATTAATAGCCAGTATACCTACCAACAGCCGTTGTATTGTCAAAGTTACTTAGCTTTTATGCAGGTTGTAGAAAAAGTGTGACCAAATTGCTGCTGGTGATCATACTCACGGTAAGAAACTATTTAAATCTTACTCACAGATATAGAAAAAATATCTCTCTTCATCCATGTTCGTTCAGGTACCATGCTCCTCACATCAGCACCTGTCTCTCCCACTTTCACGAGCAGCCTAGCTATAGCCCCTGGTACATCTGGCACTGTCGCCATGAACTTCACCAGACGTCCATCGGCTGCCAGACCGCGGTCGATGACACGCGCCATACGCATACTATTCACGTTACCGCCTGATACGATGCACACGACACTACGAAATGAATGTATTATTAAAATAAATTTGCTCCAAAAAAATTATCAGGGGCTGTGTTACTTTTTGCGTGTTCTAATAAATACACTATAAGTATTTATTCACATTGTTTGTGAATAAATACTTACATATACTCCATAACTCCATAATTTTGTTATGATTATGAATACAAAAATCGAACACACAGAAACTGCCGAAAGCCAGTACAAAGCCCAAAGATCAAAAACATATAGAAGAATTTCGACGGCTCGGTAATTGGATCCGTAGCTTAGTTGGTAAGAGCAATGCTATAGTGTAGCTTGGACGTGGGTTCAAGTCCCACTAGACCGATGAAATTTTGCTGAGTGTTCGATCTTTGTGTTCATAATCATACACTATAGGTATTTTTAATGAGTATTAACAAAGTCTTGTTCAAGGAGACGCGTTGCGGAGACACCGCAAATTCTCCGTTTATCGGCGGGGAGTGATGCTTAGCGGTAGATTAAATAGAGCGTGTGAGCGGGTTTGCCATGGTGAGTATATTCAAACTCTCGTAGTTAGTATGTAATCACGTATGCAGCTCATGCCGCAGTCTACCCCCAAAGCCGCGCTGTCATTGTGAATAAGGCCTAATACAACTTTTCAAACGAGAAGAATGAAGTTATTTATATCCACATTCTACGTAGACAGACAGAATATAAAGAGTTCAGCAAATATGCAACACTTTACTAACCGCCACTTATTTATCAAGAAAGAGCTCGGACCTCTTGGTAAGTTTGAATTGCCCGTTCCATGCATTTACAATGCGTCACAAATTGTCCAGAGACTTCACGAATGAGACCCAACGCACCCGTGTAAAGATCCATCATAATGTAAGATAAACAACGAGACTTACTACTGTAAGTTGCAAGTATCTTTAAAATCAACGTTACATTTTTCCAGCCAGCTCTGGAACCCGTCCGCCCAAAAGAGCAGCGACGGGACACGCCGCTGCTCCTTCCACTATCAGCTTCTCTCGCTCCAAAAGCATAATCATCGCGCGAGAGATCATTCTTTCATCGACGGTCACCTGAACAGCGAAATGCAATAGAGTGAACTTATGTATAACTTGTCAATTTATAAAATCCTATTTTGAATTCAAGTGTTCAGGGCTACAGCCTAATGGGAAAATATTCGACTGCTATGTACGTGATATACGTGTTCTAGGTACATTTTTACCGGAAACATACGCAGTTCGGTTTATTATATTAAAAGTATCCTAACACTTGCTTTGACGGTGAAAGAACACATCGCGTTGAAATCAGCATGTCGGAGAAGGTTATGTAACAATTCGAGGACGTGTGAAATCTCCAAGCCGCATTATAACCATGACCCTTAGGAAGACCCATACCCAGCAGTAGAACGTACATGGGTTCAGGGGGCCAACTTTAGTTAACTAACAATTCTATCCAGGTATCCCTTGATGACGTTGAAAGCGTTCATGCCTGCGATGTTGTTCGCAAGACTGTCGGCAATAGTAGCGTTTAACTGGACCATTACGGGTTTCTTTTCTTGCAGGGCGCGGGTCATTACAGGACAGGAGGCACACTCTGCGCCCTAAAATCATGACATTGCCACGAGGCATAAATTACATTAGTATTTGAAATTAATGGTCAATTATTTGTGCCAAAATTTATTATATTTTGATTATAGTGTACCATTTCATAGCATAGTCATGCTTATCATTACTTATTTATTTTATTTTGAATATTAATAAATAATATTTATTACCTATTTATATTATTATAATATTTATTCATTTTAGCGCTATGAACGAATTAGGTAATCTTCTAGAATTGATAGTAATTTGCGTATTTTGCCAAATATGTCAAATAAACACAAACACAAACAATAAGGACTGTTGTTTCTCAACACAACTCATCCAGCAATTGAGTCGTCATTGTCTTACCGTTAGAAACTACGTTTCCGATTTATTATAATATTACTACGAAACTATAGTTCTTAACAAGAAGACTTACGTAAATCAAACATTTCGGCTTAAGGCTCTTGACGGCCACTATAAGACTAGCGATGAGTCCTCCGCTGCCAACAGGACAGATGATTGCGTCTATCTTATCTAGCTGGCACAACAGTTCAAGGCCTATGGTTCCGTAACCTGCCATAAGATCCAGACGGTCGTACCTAACAATAAAACAAGATATAGTAGGTACTTATCGTTAGTAAAAACGAGTACCTACGTAATTATTAATTACCTATCACAAGTGTAGGTACGAAAATAAATACAGTCAACAGCTGGGCGTTACATCGTAAGTTACGTAGAGTTCAATAATTTAAAGACTTAAATTAAATTCTGACTGAGGAGATTGAAGAGATAGATACTCTTTTGTTAAAGTCAGAATTCATGGTTTCGGCAGGTAGGTTCGACCCCGGTAAAATTGCTATACCCACTGGCTGAAATAGCTCCTCAAGACATCCGCAGAACTGTATTCTATTAAGTATTAAGCTTCTGGCGAGAGGCAAAACGGCTATCGACACTCGGCACCCTGAGTACAAGCACTGAGCATTGAGCCACCTCAGGCGAAGTGCAACCTTTGGAACGAAAGAGTACCATCTACCTTTGACCCGCCTTCTGAGATTCGTCTTTTGAAAGAAACCTGGAAGTCTTCAAAAAAATAGGCGTCGAACTCAGGTTGGTCGGAGTAAGAACAATTAGTTCAGATGGGAATTTTCGGATGGTTCTAACCTGGATTGTTTGTGCTATGTGATTCAAACGATCGCGATGGCTCATCTCATATCGTGCCCTAATACCTGCACGCTTGAGAATTTAATGGCGGCTACTAAGGACGCAGTGGGCATGGCTAAATCCTGGGTCTGGATACTATTATAGTGTATGCCATCGATACAATAAGAAGAAGAATAGCTAGATACTAATCTAGACGCTATTGTGAAGCAAGCTAAGTACCTACGTAGGTAGGATGTCAGGATCTGACACGAGATGATCCTATATACCTTTAGGACGTCATTATGACAATAAACTTGGTTCAATTATATTTTATTACCCGTGCATATGTTTAGTTCCAATTTCTTCACAGTAGCTCAATGCGTGTAAACTTGCGTCGTTTTGGTCGCTACCATACATTTTCACCACAGCATAGTTTTCCCTATACCTGTGTCTGTCTGCGATAGGACAGTCCCTGGGCACTACCACACTCGTTGGAATAGAATATCTGTGCCCATAGTAAGTCATTGCTAGAAGAAAGTTTCGCCCCCCGGAAATTGTACAACCTTTACTTCTCTCGGAATGCGATAGTGACGCTAAAGCATTGCAAGCTCCACGTGCTTTGAAACTGTAAAATATCAAGTTTACTAGATACATAAGAAGGGTACCAAAAATAAATTTAACTTTTATATGAAAATATACCTTCCAGTGTATTGTAAATTTTCTAGCTTGAAGAATACGTTGCAAAACTTTCTGCCGACATGTTTTGCTTCCTAAAATAAAATACCTAAGTACATTAGTTTGAAAATAACTTCATAGTTGTTCCTTCAAACGTAGATATATTTAAGAAATTATATGTTGTATTTCTAAATTTTACTTACGACAACTGGAGTGAATATAATGTCTTTCTTGATTTTGCTGTGAGCCTCTTGTATGTCTTGCAATTTTAATTTTATTTTGGTCAAATGCTCAGGTTCCTCCTCGGCGTCCTAAGGCAGAAACGTGCTCATAACTAATTGCATTATTTTAAATATTGTTACAATGATGAAGCAACAATATTTATAATAATTAATAACTCAATTACTATTATCGAGTTCTTAGGTTTTTGCAATTGTTACACTTAGGAAATAAAACTATTTTTCTGGATTTAAATCGCGTATATTTGTTTTTTTCAAAAAAACCAACGTTTCGGGCCATTTACCGTGATCATGGGACCTGTAAAGGGCCCGATGGTTTGTTTGAAAAAACAAATATACGCGATTTAAATCCGGAAAAATGGTTTCATTTCCTATAAATGACTAAAACATAAACAAATTAAAACTATTTATTATGCACTAGTATAATCGTTAATAGTTTATGGCATAACGCCCTGAGCGGAAGCTAGTACAATCACTCTAAAATGCATCGAATGTGCCCAGAAGGCCATACGAAAGGTTGGTTTCGTTTTACCGTTCGTATCTTTTTGTGAAACTCAAACAACCAAAAATGCAAAATTCTAACAGTAAGACAGTTGCGACAGCTCGTGTCGTCCTAAAAAGGCATAGTCAGATTATTTATAACCCTAACCCATGTAATGATAAACGTAGGAAATATATTGTCTGCACATCCACAAACTATTTCGACTCATCCGTAGAACAAAAACCTATCTACTACTTGTTCTCAGGACATAGTACATTTCGTTCGTTCTTCTTCGCTATGGATGTTAGATCGGTTGTTCGATTTTATATTTCCGAAACGAAATGAGATATACAAATTCTCAAAACACCTTTACATAGGCCTTAGTTTGAATAACGAAATTATTCTCGTAACGTACTTATTCTCTTTTCGCTATATAATCACATCGGACTCTGTTCTTGGGATGAGTCGATTTATATAATAAAATTAACAAAGTCATCCCTTTATACTCTGTAAATAAATTTGAATGCAAATACTGCTATATTATTGGCTGATCAACTTGGACTACGATTCTACCGAATTTTTACTCTCTCCAGCCTTTTTACCTTTTACCAGCTCCAATAGAAAAAGCGCGTCACTTGCAAGCTAACACATACACTAAATACATACACACGCATACACACACACCTACTCAGACCACATATAATAAACACATACACACACACACACACACGCACGCAAACACACACACACACACACACAACACACACACACACACACACACACACACACACACACACACACACACA